CCTGGGCGGGGGCCAGTCAGGAAACTCCCCTCTCCGCGCAGAGCCCTGAGCGCACGGTTCCAGGGCGCAGAGGCGGAGCCTGGACTGACTTTCACCAAAGCTGCTGCACAGTCAGCTCTTTCGGAGCAGCTGGAAGGCGGGACGGGCAGGGGCTTAGGAGACGCTGAGATCCTGCCAAAGAGGCCAAAGCTACGGATTTTTTTTTTTGGTGCCTGTATCCTGCAGGAGCGGGCGTGGAGTTAGTAATCAGCGGTGAGCGCTTGCCCGGAGCAGGGGCGCATGCACGGACGCGTTTCTCTAGGGTGCCTTTTAGTTTCTGTGCGAATTACTGTTTTTATATAAACTTCAGAGGAGAGATGGCAAGAAAATAAAAAAAATTGAAAAAAATGAGATGCTGAAGGCGTGGCCCAGGGGTGGAAATGCATCGCTGACATTCCAAAGAACGTAGCCTAATGCAGTTGAACAGCTTCCCTCCCTCCCTCCTTCCTTCCTTCCTATTTCTTTCCACCTCTCTCATTTTTTTTTTTTATCTTGTAATTTTTGTTGGCCTGAGTATATTTCATCGGGCAATTCTTTCCCTCTTTATCTAATGGTGGAGGTTGCAGAGGTTTCCCCAAAGTTCCTACCCCCTTCCGCCTCCCGGGGTGGGGCACGATGCTATACCTTTGGATCTTCCCATGAAATAAAAATGAAAGACAATTAACAAACCCACAAATGACAGAGTGAATCTCGCTCTAGTGAATGCCTCTTTGAGCACGTTAAGGAAAGATAATTAAAGCGTGAACGAATGTCACTGAAAGAGGGACATGCTCCTGATAATAATGACCTCCTTGGGGGTGTTTTTTATTCAAGTACGTACAACATATCATGGCTCAGACAACCCCCCCCACACACACTCGCTCACAACCTACTGAGATTTCCAAATCGCAGACTCAAAGTCAGGAATTGAGCTACTGTTCTATAGCAAAGATTAACATTAACCCCGAAACGTTACAAAATTACATTTCGGACTTTTTGACTCACATATTTTAAGCGTGGCGGAAATCGGTCATCGTCAAGTCTCGGGAACCTTCANCCACGCACACACACTCGCTCACAACCTACTGAGATTTCCAAATCGCAGACTCAAAGTCAGGAATTGAGCTACTGTTCTATAGCAAAGATTAACATTAACCCCGAAACGTTACAAAATTACATTTCGGACTTTTTGACTCACATATTTTAAGCGTCGCGGAAATCGGTCATCGTCAAGTCTCGGGAACCTTCAAACCATTACCCACAACTCCAGCAACATTTGCTGAACCCAAGGAAGGGCGACCCCGGCGATACGTACATCTGTCTGTTTTTCTAGCTTCATTTTTTAATTACAGTTGACATTCGATGTTACTTTGTATCAGTTCCAGGAGTACAGCCTAGTGGTTACAAAGTATCCCCCCTCGATATTTCCAGTAGGCACCTGGCACCGTACAGGCGGAATCTAATGAACAAAATAAACTGACAAAGCACATCTGTTTTTTTTGTTTGTTTGTTTGGTTGGTTCCACCCCTGCAGGTTGCCAGGGCCCACGCACCACCCCCGGGACAAGATGCCACCGTGGGCGCCCTGGAGAGCCCTCTCCGTGGTGCTGATCCTGGTCTGGGCGCATCTTCCCGCCGCGCGCACCTGCCCTCAGTCCTGCGCCTGCTACATCCCCACCGAGGTCCACTGCACCTTCCGCTCCCTGGCTTCCGTGCCCGCCGGGATCTCCAAACATGTGGAAAGAATCAATCTGGGGTTTGTACCACGTTTCCCGTCCCCCGGGGGGAGCGCATTTGCCTCTTTGCCTGCGCGTTTTATTTGGTTTTGCGCGTCCGTGTGCGGGTAACTGTTCCCGTCCGTGCTTTCACGCGTCGCTCTTTCTAGAACGATGGGCTTCTTTATGGGTTTTAGCTCTACCAGAGGGAGCGCCTTCGGGCGGTTACCTGGATGTATCCATGAGCTCTCAGCGCCATCGTGAAGTCTGATGACAGAGCATCGTGACCGAGTTCAACTGTAGAGACGTTTCCCTTGGCGATTCTTTAATATGTCAATAGAAACGCGCACGACACATGGATACATATAAGAATATATATATACATATTGTTAATACTCACCCGAACATATTTTTTTCCATGGATTTTTAAAAATTTTTTAGAGACGGGGAGAAGGGAGGGAGAGAGAGAGAGAAACATCAGTGTGAGAGAGACACATGGATGGGTTGCCTCCTGCATGAGCCCCAATCTCTCAGGCAAGGATCCAACCTGCAACCAGGTCCATGCCTTTGATTGGGGAATCGAACCCAAGACCCTTCATTTTAAGGGTCCATGCGCTACCCACTGAGCCACTAAGGCCACTGGCTGGTGTGGCCACTGAGCCACTAAGGCCACTGGCTGGTGTGGCTCAGTGATTGAGCATCAACCTATGAACCAGGAGATCGCCGTTCGATTCCCAGCCAGGGGGCGTGCAGAAGGCAGCCGATCAATGACTCTCTCTCTCTCCCTTCCTCTGTCTGAAATCAGTAAAAACATATTTTTAAAAAGACAGTAAGACAGAACCTCCCCTAATCCACAACAACAGACCACTAAATCGTTTACGCAATAAAATCTTGGGTAGTGCGGTGACCTGACTGCCTGAAAACCCAGCCAGAAGGACGGTTTGGGGAAAACATCTCAAGTTTGCCAGAGGAGGTGATATTCATAACTAACCCACTTTCCTTTTTTACAGTCTTACCATTTATTAAGACCCTTTTGTAGCGTATTATCGCTTGAGATACTTTTGCATAATATTAAAGAAAAGTTAACTAAGGAGTAGCTTTCACGGCATGTAGAAGGAATACATTATTTCCATCCCGCTTAATTTGCAACATGACCTGCCACATTTCTAAGTTACATTTATATTCTCACAACACAACACTGTTTTTTGTCAGGTTTGTTTGTTACTTTTTGGTTAATTTCCTCCCTAGGAAATTGTTTCTATTGATCTTTAGAGAGAGTGGAAGGGAGGGAGAGAGAGAGAAAGAAACATCGATGGGAGAGAAACACATCCATAGGTTGCCTCCCGTATGCTCCCCGACCAGGGCTGGGGATACAACCTGCAACCCAGGTACATGCCCCTGTCCGGGAATCGAACCCGAGACCCTTCCTTTTGAGGGCCGACACTCTAACCACTAAGGTGAGGGCTCACCAGGCACTGTTTTTGAAAACCAATCTCAAAGCAGATAACAAGGTTGGTATCGTGTGTTTTGTTGGGGGTGGCGGGGTGTAAAAAAAATAAGAATGGTGTCCAATAGAGATACAGCTCGGGGGTTGCTCATTTGAGTTTTAGCAATCTGGAAAGAATTCAAACCTCTCCAGGAATGAGGGATTCTAGGCAGAGCACTAATGAGAGGTTTTAACCCCACACAGATGTTTTTAGGGTTCCCAGTCAGCGCTGAAGGAGAGGTCTGCTGTTTCCTGTTTGGACGGCCCCAAAGCTTTTACCAAAAAAAAAAAAAAAATTACTTTCCAGATACTTTTGAGCAAACAAAAGAAAACCATCCACTCGGTGTCAGATTTATAGACCTGTGAATATTTGCCCCTTGTTGGAAACACTGATTTTGATAACATTTTTCCTGTATCCGTGCAGCAGTTTTGCATATATTTCTGATGCGAAAGGAAGCATGTCACTCAGTTGGTTATGTAGCCAGGAACTGGCCATCAATAGGTGAGAAAGGCACTCCCTACATCTCTGCTGGGTTTTGTGTTTTATTTTTTTAAAAAATTGATTTATTTGAGAGAGACAAAGAGAGAGAGAGATGCAGTCACTGGTTGATCCTTATATGCACCCTGACCAAAAATCGAACCCGCAACCTTGGCATATCGAGATGATGCTCTAACCAACGGAGCTACCCAGCCAGGGCTCTTCCAACGCCACTTCCTCACCCGATACCCTAATGTTCTTTACTGTTTCCAGACAAATCTCAGGTTCCAAAAATGGAAAAAAAGTGTAGATGTTGCTATGCATTCACTTTTTTAAAAAATATATATATGTTTTTATTGATTTCAGAGAGAGAGAAACATCAATGATGAGAGTCTTGGATCGGCTGCCTCCTGCACGCCCCCTACTGGGGATCGAGCCCGCAACCCAGGGCATGTGCCCTGACCAGGAATCGAACCCGTGACCTCCTGAGGCTCAACTGCTGAGCCACACTGGCCGAGCTAAACATTTCCTTTTTGTGTTCACCGCCCTGGACAAATTTCGTTGCAGGATCCTCATCAATGATAAACAGATGAGGTGGTGCCTCAGCCCAAAGACTATCTCGTATCCCATCTCGACTCTAATTGGAATATAAATTTCAGAAACAATCTAAAACAGGTTTTTTTGGGTTTTTTTTCTTAAAAAAAGTTTATCGCTGAAAAGTGCTTCGGAAGGCTTTCGGGGGAAGTCATGAGCCAGCTATTGACTTCAAAATCGGGGTTTCTGGGTTTAGGCGCACGTGTGTTCCGGAGAAAACTGGAACTCGTTAGCATTTCCTGCGTTTAGCGATGAGCCCTTCCTCGTAATTCTCTGCACATCTCTTTCCTGTTATTGAGGTGATAGGAGAAGTCATAAAGTCAGGCTAGATATGAATATATATATATATATATATACTTTTAAATATGTTTTTATTGATTTTAGAGAGAAAGAGAGGAAGGGAGAGGGAGAGAGAGAGTCATTGACCGGCTGCCTCCCGCACGCCCCCTACTGGGGATCGAACCCCCAATCCGGGCAGGTGCCCCAACCGGGATTCGAACCCGCGACCTCCTGGTGCCTGGGGTGATGCTGAGCCAGCTGAGTCGTTGCAATGTAACAATGGGGCCCTGGCTGGCGTCCCTCCATGGTCAGAGCATCGGCCTGCACACCGAAGCGGCGCACGTTCAATTCCCGGTCAAGGGCACGTACCCGGGTTGCAGGTCCACCCCCAGCCCTGGTCCAGGCGCCTGCGGGAAGCCACCCACCGATGTGCCTGTCTTTTTATACTCGGAGCTACTCCCAATGCCGGCTTTTTCCTTCCGCTCCTGGGGGCCGCGTGTCCCGCATTACCGCCGCTCTTGTACGGCGCAATTTCCTACAATTGGCCATTTCGACTGGCTCCTTTCAAAAGTAAAAAAATTGTCTATATCGCCCCAAATATCCGCTGACCGCATCCACATACGCCAACTCACAACCCCCAGCAGCTATGCCCGAAATGAACAGAAGCTAATAAGAAGGTGCCACAGTCCTTGGGGGCCCCAGAAAGAGACGTGTGCATTTTTTTTTTTGGAACGGCATCAATAAAAGCTCAGAATCGGCCCGGCCAGTGTGGCTCAGCAGTTGAGGGCTGACCTGTGCGCCGAGAGATCGCCGGTTCGATTCCCGGTCAGGGCGCCTGCCCTCGATCCCCAGTAGGGGGCGAGCAGGAGGCGGCCGATCCCTGACTCTCTCTCCTCATTAATGTTTCTCTGTCTCTCCTTCCGCCTTCCTCCGTCTATAAAAATCAACTTATAGATTTAAAATCAATTTATCAATTTGTAGATTAACAGCCAGAAGCACAAAAAGCTCAGAATCCGCGTCGTTGCTCCTTTGTTTCTCTGTAGGGTCGGCTGGGGAATCTTTCCCGCATGGGGTCACCCGGGTGCGTGTTTTGTTTTTTTAGGTTTAACAGCATCCAGGCCGTATCCGAAACCTCGTTCGCGGGGCTGACCAAGCTGGAGCTGCTCATGGTTCACGGCAACAACATCCTGAGCATCCCCGACGGGGCGCTGAGGGACCTCGGCTCTCTCCAGGTAACGCCGGGCGTGGAGAACCAGTCGTCTCCGTGTAGCTGCTGTTAATGCTCCGTCGGGGGTATTTTCTCCTGTCGATTCTTAGAGAGACTGGAAGTGTGTGGGGGGGGAGAGAGAGAGAGAAAAACATCGACGCCAGAGACAGACACGTCAATCGGTGGCCTCGAGACAGGGCCCGGGGATCGAACCCGCAACCCAAGCATGTGTTCTTGACTGGGAATCGCGCCCGAGGCCCTTTGTCGAGCTGGCCGGGGCTGTAACCGCGGAGCCGAAGCGGCCAGGGCTAGAGCCCTTCTTAGCTGTAGCCTCCAGGACCGCCCATGACTATATATAAAACACTAGAATGCTCTCTGGACATGTATAAAATAGACTTTTTTATTTATTTTTTTATTTTATTTTTTTTTTATATTTATTTATTTATTTATTTTTAAACATATCTTTATTGATTTCAGAGAGAGGAAAGGGAGGGAGAGAAAGAGATAGAAACATCCATGATGAGAGAGTCATGGATCTGTCTCTTATACACATCTAGATGTGTATAAGAGACAGNAGACAGGGCCCGGGGATCGAACCCGCAACCCAAGCATGTGTTCTTGACTGGGAATCGCGCCCGAGGCCCTTTGTCGAGCTGGCCGGGGCTGTAACCGCGGAGCCGAAGCGGCCAGGGCTAGAGCCCTTCTTAGCTGTAGCCTCCAGGACCGCCCATGACTATATATAAAACACTAGAATGCTCTCTGGACATGTATAAAATAGACTTTTTTATTTATTTTTTTATTTTATTTTTTTTTATATTTATTTATTTATTTATTTTTAAACATATCTTTATTGATTTCAGAGAGAGGAAAGGGAGGGAGAGAAAGAGATAGAAACATCAATGATGAGAGAGTCATGGATCGAGCCTGCAACCCAGGCCTGTGCCCTGCCCGGGAATCGAACCCCGATCGCCTGGATCCTAGGTCCAGGCTCAACCGCTGAGCCATGCCCGGCCCGGCTAGACTTTTTTCTTTAAACATGAGAAACGAGCTCATGGATTCGGTTTCTTTCGCGGTTATTTGTTCAGCTCGAAACGTATCCGTCTCCTCTCTGGCGTGGGTTTGGAAGGTCGCACGTTCGTCGCCGCGTTACTTGCGATAGTCAAGACACGGTGGCAACCTCGGGGTCCGTGGATGGACGAGTGCTCCCTACGCTCGGTGGAATACTACTCGGCCCTGAAAAAGAACGGGACCCGACCATTAGCCACAACCCGGATGGGCCTAGAGGGTGTCGTGAGCCCCGTCCGAGAAAGACAGGCGCCCCATGAGCTCACTTACGTGTGGCATCTAGGAAGCAAAGTAAACCGATAAAACAGAAACAGACATAGATGCAGAGAACAGAGGGGCAGAGTCGGGGGGCTGGGGCGAAAAGGGGGGACGGGATTGAGACGAATAAAGGGGCCGTTACAGGATAGACCTGCTGCGAAGCTCAGCACCGGGGGATACAGCCAATAATATTGTGATCACGACGCGTGGTGCCCGGTGGGCACTAGATTTATGGGGGGCATCGCTTTGTAAGTTAACAGATGTCTAAGCACCGTGCCGTGCACCTGAAATGCACATAAAATAATATTCTAATCGACAATAAATTTTAAAAAAGCAAAAAAAAAAACAAGCTTCATTGCTCCCCTACGCTTTGCATCCTTTCTGTTCTCGTTTGAAAATTATAACCCGGATTTTTTCTGCGCTTCGCCCCCCGCTTTCCAGGTTTTCAAGTTATAACGACACGTGGTGCCCGGTGGGCTCTAGATTTATGGGGGGGCATCGCTTTGTAAGTTATACAGATGTCTAAGCACCGTGCCGTGCACCTGAAACGCATATAAAATAATATTCTAATCGACAATAAATTAAAAAACAAAACAAAAACAAGCTTCATTGCTCCCCTACGCTTTGCATCCTTTCTGTTCCCGTTTGACAGTTATAACCCGGATTTTTTCCGCGCTTCGCCCCCGCTGTGCAGGTGTTCAAGTTCAGCTACAACAAGCTGAGAGTGCTCACCGCACAGACGCTGCAGGGCCTCCGGAGCCTGGTGAGGCTGCACGTGGACCACAACCAGCTCGAGTTCATCCACCCGCAGGCCTTCCGGGGCCTCACGGCCCTGCGCCTGCTGCACCTGGAGGGCAACCAGCTGCGGCACCTGCACCCGGGCACCTTCTCCACCTTCGCCTTCCTGGATTATTTCCGTCTCTCCAGCGTCCGGCACTTGTACCTGGCGGAGAACCGCCTGCGGGGCCTGCCCGAGGGGCTGCTGCAGAACATGCCGCTGCTGGAGAACCTCTACCTGCAGGGCAACCCCTGGGCCTGCGACTGCGAGATGACCTGGTTTCTGCGCTGGGAGGCCAAGTCCGCAGGTAACCGCCCCGGGGGACGGGCCCGTGGCCCCTCGCCTCCGCGGGGAAGCCGCCCTCCCCAGCCGTCAGGTGTGGCTTCATCTTTCTAATTTTTTATATATATTTTTTATTGATTTCAGAGAGAGAGAGAGAGAGACTCATGGATAGCTTGCCTCCCGCATGTGCCCGGACCTGGCCCGGGCATCACATGCATTGCCCGGGAATCCGATCCGAGACCCGCGGGTGCGCAGGCCGAGGGTCTAACCACCGGGCCGCGCCGGCCAGGGCGGGATGAACAGCAACAACGAAAAAC